TTTTTTCCGTTTTTTTGTTTTTTTTTTTGTTTTTGATCTTTTTATTAAAAAACAAATTTTTTAATTTTTTTTTTTCATTTTTTTCCTTTTCTTTTTTTTTGAATTGCTTTTATTTTCCTTTTTTTTAATTTTATTGAAATTATTTACTTACTTTCCTTTTGGTTTTTTTTTATTGTTATCTTTCTTTGTTTTGAATAAAAAAAATTTTTTAATGAATCAAGTAATAATTTTCTTAATAAATTTCTTTTTAATTTTTTATCCCTTTTCTAAAATGAATCAAAACAATTTAAAAAAAAAAAACACACACAAAAAAATAAACGAAAACACATTTTTTTTTTCTCAATCATTTTAAAAGAAAAAAAACTTACTTGAATTAATAATTGATGGGGATTTAAAATCTGTTAAACTTGAAATTGAAAATGGAGCTGATCCAAATTTTACAAACAAAGTAAATGATTTTTTTTTTTATTAAAAAAAAAATTAAAAATAAAAAATATAAAAAAAAAAATTTAAAAAATAAAAAAAAGGATGTAAGATTAAAATTAATAAGAATTTATTCCTATTAAGAATTTATTTATCTTATTAATTTATTTATTTATTTAAAAAAGAATTGGTCTCCTTTACTTGTTGCTTCACAAAAAGGAAATTTAGAAATTGTCAAATTTCTTCTTTCTAAAAATGCTGATATAAATCATCAGAATAATGTTTGAAATTTTTATTTATTTATTGAAATGAAAATCAAAATTAAAATAAAAAGATTTTTTTTTTAAATTAATTACGAAATATTGATAGAAAGTAAATCAAAAAAAAAACCTTTTTTTTTCCGTTATTTTTAATTTAAATTTTTTCTTGATTGAATAAAGGGTGTAACAGCTCTTTATATTGCTTGTCAAGAAGGGCACACAGATATTGTAAGGGAATTGATTGCGAATAAAGCTGATGTTAATTTAAATTCTGTAATTCATTTATAATTTAAATTAAAACTATAATCAAAATTAAAATTAAAATTAAAATTAAAATTAAAATTAAAATTAAAATTAAAATTAAAATTAAAATTAAATTTAAAATTAAAATTAAATTTAAATTTAAAATTAAAATTAAAATTAAAATTAAAATTAAAATTAAAATTAAAATTAAAATTAAAATTAATTAAAATTAAAATTAATATTAATATTAAAATTAATATTAAAATTAAAATTAAAATTAAAAATTAATATTATAATTAAAATTAAAATTAAAATTAAAATTAAAAATTAAAATTAAAATTAAAATTAAAATTAAAATTAAAATCAAATTTAAAATTAAAATTAAAATTAAATTAAAATTAAAATTAAAAATTAATATTAATATTAAAATTAAAATTAAAATTATTAAAATTAAAATTAAAATTAAAATTAAAATTAAAATTAAAATTAAAATTAAAATTAAAATTAAAATTAAAATTAAAATTAAAATTAAAATTAAAATCAAATTTAAAATTAAAATTAAAATTAAAATTAAAATTAAAATTAAAAATTAATATTAATATTAAAATTAAAATTAAAATATTAAAATTAAAATTAAAATTAAAATCAAAATCAAAATTAAAATTAAAATTAAAATTAAAATCAAAATTAAAATTAAAATTAAAAATTAAAATTAAAATTAAAATTAAAATTAAAATTAATATTAAAATAGGGAGTTTCACCTCTTTTAATTGCTAGTCAGGAAGGTCATCTTGAAATTGTTCGTCTTTTATTAGATGCAAATGCAAATATTAATATTGTTGATTCTGTAAAATTATTCAAAAAAATAAATTCTTTATTTTTTTCTTTTTACATTCTGATTTTTAATTCAAATCTAATTTTATTTTTAATAAGGTTGTAAATTAAATTAAATTATATTTTTTGATTTGATAAAATGAATAATTTTTAATAATTACTTTTTTTTTATTGGAAAAGGATGTAAAAAAAATAAAAATAAAAAAAAAGAAAATAAATGTGAAAAATTCTTATCATTTTGATTTTAAAGGGTGCATCTGCTCTACATTTCGCAACATCTAATAATCAAATTGAGATTGTAAAAGAATTATCAGAAAAAAAAGCAAATCCTGATATTCAAGATCGAGTATAAAAATTTATAAATTAATTTCAAAAAAATTTAAATAATATTTAATTTAAAAAATATCAAAATTTTTTTTAGAATGTAAATTATTTAATTTAAAATGATTTAATTTATAATTATTTAATTTAAAATAATTATTTAATTTAAAATTATTTAATTTATAATTATTTAATTTATAATTATTTAATTTATAATTATTTAATTTAAAATAATTATTTAATTTAAAATGATTATTTAATTTATGATTATTTAATTTAAAATGATTATTTAATTTAAAATGATTATTTAATTTATAATTATTTAATTTTAAAATTATTTAATTTATAATTATATAATTTATAATTATTTAATTTAAAATGATTTAATTTATAATTATTTAATTTATAATGATTTAATTTATAAATATTTAATTTATAATTATTTAATTTATAATTATTTAATTTAAAATTAAATTTAAAATTATAAAATTTAAATTAAATTAATTTAAATTAAATTTAAAATAATTATTTAATTTATAATTAAAATTTAAAATAAATATTTAATTTATAAATTTTTAAAAATTATTTAAAAATTTAATTTATAATTATTTAATTTATAATTATTTAATTTAAAATTATTTAATTTATAATTATTTAATTTAATTTTTTAATTTAAATTAAATTTATTTTGATTATTTAATTAAAATTATTTAATTTATAATTATTTAATTTAAAATGAATTAATTTATAAAATATAATTTAAAATGATTTAATTTATAATTATATAATTTAAAAATGAAAACAAATGATTTAAAAAAAATGATTATTTAATTTATAATTATTTAATTTATAATTATTTAATTTATAATTATTTAATTTATAATTATTTAATTTATAATTATTTAATTTATAATTATTTAATTTATAATTATTTAATTTATAATTATTTAATTTATAATTATTTAATTTATAATTATTTAATTTAAAATTATTTAATTTAAAATTATTTAATTTATAATGATTTAATTTATAATTATTTAATTTAAAATTATTTAATTTAAAATTATTTAATTTAAAATGATTATTTAATTTAAAATGATTATTTAATTTATAATTATTTAATTTATAATTATTTAATTTAAAATGATTATTTAATTTATTTTTGTTTTAAGGGTGATACTCCATTAATTTTAGCAGTAGATAATGATTTTGAAGAAATTGCGAAGATATTAATTAAAGCTGGAGCTTCATTTACATTGAAAAATCATGTAAAAAATTAAATTAAATTAAATATAAAAATTAAATATAAAAACTAAATATAAAAATTAAAATTAAATTTAAAAGGATGTAAAAAAATTTCACTTTAATTTTTACTTAATTTTTTATTTAATTTTTTATTTAATTTTTATTTAATTTTTATTTAATTTTATTAATTTTTATTTAAAAATTTAAAAATAAAGGGGATTTTGTGCAAAAGAGATTATGCAACAGATCCTGAATTAATTCAATTAATGGAATCAAATCCTAAAACTCGAAAAAAAACCAAAAACAGTAAAAAAAGTGATACAAATAAAAAAACAAGATTGAAAAAAGGAAAAGGACTTTTTCGTGCTTGTACTTCTTCCAAGCAAAATTAATAATGTTTCCTTTTTCTCCTTTTGAAATTTTATTGTTTTTGATGTTGAGAAAAACAAAACAATTTTTTTTTTCATATTTTTTTTCATATTTTTTTTTTAATCAAAAAATGGATTGATTTAAAAAAACAAATTCCAAATAAAATCAAAATCAAAATCAAAATCAAATTTTAATTTAAAATTTAAATTATAATTTAAAATTTAAATTATAATGAATTTGCCTGAAAACAAAAGATCAAAAAAAAGTGGAACAAAAAAAAATTTATTTTTATTTTTCATTTTTTATTTTTTTTTTGATAAATTAAAAATGAATTGGATGGGAGGTTCAATGTAAAATATTTAATAAAATAATTTGAATTAAATATAATTTAATAAATCTTAAATAAAATGGATAAAAATAGGAAAAGAATGAAATTATCAAAAAAAATGTCAAATCAAAAAAGAAGAAGAAAAAAAAGATTTAAAGAAAAAGAAAATAAAATAAATAAAGAAAAAGAAAATCAAACAAATAAAGAAAAAGAAAATCAAACAAATAAAGAAAATCCTTTTCAAAATCAAGAATTAGAACATTTTATGAAAAGAAAAAAAATGGAACAAAAAGAAAAAGAAAATCAAATTGAAAATCAAATTGAAAATAAAAATCAAATTGAAAATCAAAATCAAAATCAAAATCAAAATAAAAATCAAAATCAAAATCAAAATCAAAATCAAAATCAAAATCAAAATCAAAATCAAAATCAAAATAAAAATAAAAATGAAAATAAAAATCAAAAAGTGGAACAAAATCAAAATAAAAATCAAATTGAAAATAAAAATCAAAATCAAAATCAAAATCAAAATCAAAATGAAAATCAAAATGAAAATCAAAATCAAAATCAAAATCAAAATAAAAATGAAAATCAAAATAAAAATCAAAATCATAATCTTCAAAATAATAATAATTTAAATATTCAAAATTTAGATTCAATTTGGAATTTTCTTTCTAATAAAAAAATTAATGAAAATTTTGAAGAAAAAAATATTCAAAATGAAAATATCTTTATTAAAAGAAAAAATGAATCAACTCAAACAGAAAAAGAAAAAGAAAAAGAAAATGAAGAAAATAAACAAATAAAAAAAGAGAATGAAGAATTAAAGAAATTAATACAAAAACAAAATATAATAATTCAAACAATTTTTATGTCAAAAATTAAATAAAAAAAATTAATAAAAAAAAATTTAAATTTTAAAAATATAATAAATAATAAAAAAATTTAAAAAAAAATTTGAATTAAAATTATTAAAAGGGTAGTTAGTTGAGTGGCACAACACCCGTTTAGCATACGGGAGGCCAAGGGTTCGATTCCCTTACTATCCATAATTTTTTTTTTTATTTTTAAAAATATTAAAAGGCCAAGGGTTCGATTCCCTTACTATCCATATTTTTTTTTATTTTAAAAATATTTTTTTTTATTTTTTTTTTCATTTTTTTTTTGATTAAAAAATGTCAATTAAATTACCTTTTATTCCAGAAAAATCAAGATATTCTGTTTTAACAAATGAACCTGTTCAAAAATTACAAACTTCTCAACAACAACAACTTGATACAAATTTTGTTTTCAATACTCAATTTCAACAATTAAATTTCAGAAATCAAAATCAATTTCAATATCAAAATCAAAATAATTTAGATAGAAATTTTAATCAAAAGTCCAAATCAAAACAATTTAGGATGGAATCAAAATCAAAATCAAAATAGAAATAGAAATAAAAGTCCAAATAATTTAGATACAAATTTTAATCAGAATCAAAATCAATTTCAAAATCAATTTCAAAACCAAAATCAAAATAGAAATAAAAGTCCAAATCAAAATCAATTTCAATATCAAAATCAAAATAATTTAGATAGAAATTTCAATCAAAATCAAAAGTCCAAACAATTTAGGATGGAATCAAAATCAAAATCAAAATAGAAATAAAAGTCCAAATAATTTAGATACAAAATTTTAATCAGAATCAAAATCAATTTCAAAATCAATTTCAAAATCAAAATCAAAATCAAAATCAAAATAGAAATTTTAATCAAAATCAAAATCAAAATCAAAATCAAAATCAAAATAGAAATTTTAATAAAAGTCCAAATAATTTAGATACAAATTTTAATCAAAACTTGGAATGGAATCAAAATCAATATCAATACCAAAATTTAGAATGGAATCATCCACAAGAAAAAAGAAAAGAAGAAAACCCCCATTTTTCAAAAACAAAATCTCCAATAGAACTAAATAGCAATAACGATAGTAAATTAAATACAAACTTGGACGATTCACCTTCAAAAAAACAACCAAAAAAAGAAAAAACAAAAATTATCGACACAGAAGAAACAGAAAAAAAACTTTCAAGATATTATAAAATTTGGGAAAACAACTCAAAAAGATTATCAGACGAAGAAATCAAGAATATTTTGAAGCGATTAAAAAAAATCAAAAACAGCAACGACTTCAAACTCTTCCAAGACTTCATTGAATTGAATGTGAAATTTATTGATGATGAACAAAATACACTTTTACATTTTTTATGCAGCATGAAAACAACAAACCCGAAAGAAAGAAAAATAAAGACCCAAATAGCGTATTATTTACGAAAAAAAGTGGACATACAACATCAAAATATTTCACAAGAAACAGCACTTCATCGGGCAATTGCAGTGGAAATTTATCCGAAATTGACGAATGCGTTGATTTCGGAATTTGAACAATTTGGCCCGAAAGCAGTTGATATTGAAAACAATAAGGGAATGAGTTGCTTATGTTTGGCATGCAAAATGAGTTTGAAGCAAAATAACATTGAGATGGAAGAAGAAACACAAAGACATCTGGTTGAAAAACTATTGAAATCAGGAGCAAATCCAAATCATTGCGCACAGAAATTCTACAACTTCACACCACTTCATTTTGCAGTCACTTCAGCTCATATTAATATCAAAATCATCTCTCTTTTAATTTCACATGGAGCTGAATTGCATGCGCTGAATTCATTTAATCAAACACCCCTCGAATCAGCGCTATTGAGAGATCCTAGACAAGAGGTTATCGAGTTATTAAAACCTCCAAAAAGAATCCAAAAAAATTCCGAAAATAAAAACACACTTATTGAAGCGCTTAAAATCAAATCAACACCAAAAAGAATCCAGACTCTGCTCGCTTCTTCCTTTGCAGAGCTGAATCAAATGGATGAGTTTAAAAGAACTCCTTTACATATTGCTTGTGAAATGGACCAAGATTTTGAGATCATTAAAATTCTTTGTGAAAACGGTGACTCAAGAAACTTAAATCATCTAGATCACAAACAAAGAACTCCTCTGCATTTAGCTTGCAAAACAAACAAAGACACCGAAATTCTTGAGTATTTAATCGGCAAAAATAACGACGCAAATATCAACAAACGAGATAAAAAAGGAAAAACACCACTTTTTCATTTGTGCTCAAATAGCACGCCAAATATCCAAAAAATCACATTGTTTCTCAAACTTGGCGCAGATTTAAACATCCCAAACAACAAAGGATACTGCTGTTTGCATCAACTTTGCTGCCAAAAAAATTGCAGTCTCGACATTTTCAAGCAAGTATTGGATCAAAAATATATCAATATCGATATCGAAACTCGCAAAGGAAGAACACCATTGTTTTTCGCAATTCTTTATCAAGATCTCCCAGTAATTCACCTCCTTCTGGAAAAAGGAGCTGACATCAACCGTTGCGATTACATCAACCGAACACCGCTTCATTTTGCGGTTCAAAAAAGATGCGACTTAAAAATCACCAAATGGCTCATCCGTTATGGAGCAGATTTGGATGCACAAGATTGGGCCAAAATGTCATCTTTGCATTTTGCCTGCAGAAAAAGAAAAGTTGAACTGGTCAATGTTTTATTGGCAAGTGGAGCAAATCCAAACATCACAAATTCCCTTGAAGAAACAGCGCTTTTCACTCTAATTCGCGAAAATTCAGACAATCCAAAAATTCTCCAAATCGCGGAATTGCTTGTTCTTTATGGGGCAAATATCGCTCATAAGAATTTGCAAGATGTAACTGCAATCAAGCTTGGGAAGGCAATCCACAAAAATGAAACAAATTTAGTGAGGTTTCTTGTCCAGAAAAGCTCGCTAAAAGAATCGAAATTCAACTATTTTCAAAAGGATAGAAAAGTGCTTTCTTTCGAATACTCAAGAAATAAGCACAAATATGATTTGTGTTTGCTGAAGGATTTGATGAGAATATTTATCAACCAGAAAGTGTGCAATTTGGAGTTGATCCCAGAAAAAATTCAACTTCACAAAGCCTTGGTTAAATGCAGAGTGATTAATTGGGAAAAGTTTGTGGAGTTTTGCAAAATCAACATTGTTCTGAAAAACCAAAAAAGTGATGACTTAATAAGCCGAAAAATATTATCAAGAAGATTCGATATTCTGAATAAGTTTCTGTGGTGGGTCTATGGCGGAGTGATCGCAAATGACTTCCAAGACGAAGTTGTTGATCTAGGGAAAAAAATGGGCATGTTTGATTTAATTGAACGAAGCGGACACAATGGGATGCTCATTGATCTTGCAGAAATGTTTCTTGACAACGAGGACAAAAAACTCACCATCATGTCATGTGATGGGCATCAAATCCAGATCCATAAGGAACTTGTGTTTGCAAGAAGTCGGTTATTTGCTGAGATTATCCAGAAATATTGGGATTTTGATTTGTCAGAATTCAAATCACGAAATGAAAATATCAACGAAAATTTAAGTCAACATGACATGTCAATGTTGAGCGAAAAAGTTGTTCCTATGTTTTCAACTGGCGCGAATTTGCAGCCCATTTCCAATAAACGTTCCAGAGATAATGATGATTCTTGGGAAATTCAAGTTGAAAAGGAACGGAAAAAAAAAGAAGAAAATCAAATTGAAAAAAAAGTTGATGTCATGTATCAAGAAATTATAAAAGATGTTATTGTTGATCCAACTGGTAAAAACCATAAAACCGTTTATGAATTGTTGAGGTTTTTTTATTTGGAGCAGTTTTCTGAAGATATTCGTGAAAGAACTTTGATGGAAATGGTTAATTTTGAAAATGTTTTTAAGTTATCCAAATATTCACATCTTGAAAATGTTAAATTTTCAGCAAAAAACCGACTTCTTCAATTTAGGAAAGAACGGAATTATAATTTTTGAGTATCAATCAAAATCTAAATCAAAATCTAAATCTAAATCAAAATCTAAATCAAAATCTAAATCAAAATCTAAATCTAAATCTAAATCAAAATCTAAATCAAAATCTAAATCTAAATCTAAATCTAAATCAAAATCTAAATCAAAATCAAAATCTAAAATCTAAATCAAATCAAAAATCAAAATCAAAATCAAAATCTAAATCAAAATCAAAATCAAAATCAAAATCAAAATCAAAATCAAAATCTAAATCTAAATCAAAATCAAAATCAAAATCAAAATCAAAATCAAAATCAAAATCAAAATCAAAATCAAAATCAAAATCTAAATCAAAATCAAAATCAAATCAAAATCTAAATCAAAATCTAAATCAAATTCAAATCAAAATCTAAAATCAAAATCTAAATCTAAATCTAAATCTAAATCTAAATCAAAATCTAAATCTAAATCTAAATCTAAATCTAAATCTAAATCTAAATCTAAATCAAAATCTAAATCAAATCTAAATCAAAATCTAAATCTAAATCAAAATCTAAATCTAAATCAAAATCAAATAAAATCTAAATCAAAAATCAAATCTAAAATTAAAATCTAAATCAAATCAAATTCAAATCAAAAATCAAAATCTAAATCTAAATCAAATCAAAATCAAAAATCAAAATTCAAAATCTAAAATCAAAAATCAAAATCTAAATATAAATCAAAATTCAAATCAAAAATCAAAATCAAATTCAAATTAAAATTAAATTCAAAATTCAAATTCAAATTAAAATTAAATTCAAATTCAAATTCAAATTCAAATTTCAAATTCAAAATTCAATTTCAAATTCAATTTCAATTTCAAATTCAAATTCAAAATCAAATTAAAATTCAAATTCAAATTCAAATTCAAATTCAAATTCAAAATCAAATTCAAAATCAAATCAAATTCAAATTCAAAATCTTAACAAAAAGTAAATAAAAAAAATTTGTGGAATTTTTAAAAAGGAAAGAAAAAAATTTTTATTTAATTTATTGAATCCAAAAAAATAAGAAAGAAAATTTAAAAGAAAAGACTTAAAACAAAAAATAAAATCAAAACAAAAGAATAACTCAAAAAAGGAATAGAATTGCATTGAAAATAAGAACAAGGATTTCCAGAATGTTTAAGAGAATCTTCAATT